TTTCTTGCCCTTCCTGCCAAAAAGTGGCCAGGGGTACCTAGCCCCTGCAAGCACTGCACCCACTGAGGACTGGCTGCCTGGAGGCCTGTGATTCATTCGCCAAGGCACTCTGGCAGCGGCGCGAGGTACGTACTCGGTTCCAGTAGTTGGGGGGGGGGAAGGGGGCAGGAGGGGGAGGAATGCCCGCGGCCCCAAGGGTCTCCTAGGGGTGTGTCTCCGAGTTTAGAGGGGAGTAGGCGCAGGGTCTATTCACCAGGAAGCCCCAGCCGCACCGCCTCACTCGAGGCTGAGCATGGACCATCTTCCCTGCCAAATGACGATGATGACGGGGGGTGCAGTTATACCCGTAGGCCGTAGGACACTGGGAAATGATCATGCGGCACACCTCTTGCGTGCATCTGCGTCCGTACTGTCACCAACCACGGAGAACCTTCGTCACCAAAACCACAGCGAGTCCTAGATTTGATGGATACCAATGCGCGGCAGGTGAATCCTGCCAGGAACCGCCCATGCAGACAGACAAAGACGCGCCCGTTTCTGGTCGAGAATTAGACGCGTGTTTCGAGGAGGCCACCGATTCTCTCGAGGTCGCCAGCCATCTGAGTGGCGGGCTCATTCCAACCAGAACAGTAGAGACCACCAACCTTCTCCAGATGAGGACGAGAACCCCCCCTTACGAAGCGGTTGTCAGTGCGAATCCTTCACAAAAATAGCACAGCCCTAAGAGAATCCCCCCTTGTTATGGGGGTCTGTTTCTTGTCGACTGGACAGTTCGCATTGGATTCGCCACGGAGAGTCCGAGAACCGCATTGTTGGTGCTGTCAGCGCCTGTCGAAACCTCTTTTTTCCCCAGACTGACCCGACCGCCGGCCATGAGGCCCAGGAACATGAGGCCCAGGAGTAAAACAGACGAGGGCCGCCAGAGGCACGGCCACGCGCAAGGCATATTTAGACGCGCTCGCGATACGCATCTCGCTTGTTCTCTTCTGACACCCCATTCATGTCCCAGTTTGGTACCACTCGCCTCCCCGCGAGACAAAGACCTGGGGAAACTGGAACCTCAATTAGGTAGTAGCCCTTGAAGGAAAAGATGCCAAGAACCACTGCTCCGTACCGTTCCTCCATCCCCCCCCCCCCGCGGCCCCGCGATTGACTCATCACGAATGGCTTTTTTCCACTTTCCTCGTAGGCCACCCGGGACACTGGTCCCATGGGACACTGGTCTGATGGATACTGGGTCTGATGGACACTGGCATGGCATTTCCTGCTAGGCATGACACTTTGTGTAGACTGGCCAAGTTGCTAGTTCTCATTGGTCTCGCAGTAGTTTGCATGAGGCCAAAGCCGATCGACTGCCTGCCTAGGCGCACTAAAGCAGAGCAAGACACCACACGATCGAGGGCTCCGACCAGCAAACATGTCCGCCTATTCCTCGCACCCTATCGTTCTGACGGGTAAAAGCAAAAGGCTTGAGGCCTCGCAATGTTGTGCATCAGCAACATCGCCTCCCGCTGCAAGGAACATCGTCACCAAGACTGGCTGCTTGTGGCTGACGGACCGTGCTACGTTCGTGGGCTATGCTGTTCCTTCGCGGGCCACGGCCACCGCCATATGTCCTGCATTCTCCATCCATTCTAGGATCGACCGGCTCCAGGCACTGGTCCAGAACGATTCGCCGACACGTTATGCATCGCACTCGTCACTTACCGTTGTCTCCACCAGAATGCGAGGCAGCAACCGGGAGCGATGCAGCGACTGGGAGGTTGAGGTACATGTACAATGCCAATTCTACTTTCGCTAGTCTCGGCGAGCCCCAGGCAACGATCGTGGGGCCCATCACCCATGGAGCAATTGCTGTCGAATTTCCAATGGCCTGGCCGTCCGCCTGCCTGCGTACTACACACGTGGCGTCGAGATCATGATGCCGGCAGAGTTTTTTTTACTTTGTGCTGCCTTCGCAATCATCTATGACCGTGCCCATTGGTTCATGACGGCGACCACCTCCAGATGCTCCCTCCTCATCCTCTTCGACTTTTTACCCCTTGCCGAAGGACTTTGGTCAAGGACTCTCTCTCAGCCCCGCCAGCTGAAAGCAGGGGGACGCAACACACCACCACCACCATTTGATCAAGGGCGCACGTCGGTCCCGTGCCATGGCAGCCTGGCTTAGAAAAACCAGGACAGCCTTCGGAGACAGGCCACAATATGCCGCTGCACTGCAATCTACACATTTGCTGCACGTGCACCCGCGACGACAGATTTGCTGCTTCTTGCTGCTGGGTGCTCGCTGCTGCCCCTGTTGCCGGCGAGTCCGTCTCGACAGGGTTTAGGTGCAGCCCCCAAGTTGGGGGCGGAGAAGCGGACAGCGCTGGCTGGCTGGTGTCTTGGGCTACCTCTTCCTTCTCGCTGCGCAAGCGTCCCCATTGAAGATGCTTTGGGCAGAGTCAAGACCAGCGAGGCTGACCAAGAGTTTCGAGCCCTCATGATGATGCTCATCGCTGGCCCAAGGACACGCGTCGTCTGACGTCGAGGATGCACCCATGGAAGACAAAGGGCTTGAAAGCAGATACCGGCATGACAAAGCAAACTTGCACGAGGA